TGTTTAGCATACGTTTGGTCAAAGGATCGGCTTCACTTGTCTCTTCGACGAGTAGCTGTATGGTGCTTAGTATGGCGATACTCACTGGCGATGCCGACTACGATGCCGGCGAAACGTTTAGGAATGTTCCACGTCAACGGTTCAACTTTGGAAATGGTCATGCAGACAATGGACCTCGGGCTAGGTGCGTTCCAATAAGTCTTCCTACCAATATGACCATGTTGCGAAAACAAGGTCAAACAACCTCTATTATTTAATATTGTTAAATTTTCGGCAATTGTAACAGATAGCAAAGATGGTTCAAATCCCGAAAACATGTTAAATACAGTGTTTAGAAATCAGGTATTCATACAGCTTTATGGCCTATAAATTGAATTAAAGATAAAAAGAAGAAAGAATCCCCAGTATTTAATTCTACCATATCAATTGGTATATTTTAAAAAGTATATCCACCTGGACCCCTGTCTATTAAACATCATTATAAAAAATCTTATCTCCTAAAAGTTAGTTATCAAAAATACAGAGGAATTAAACTTTCTGATCCAGCATTTAATTGAGTTTAAGCCCTATAGTGACCTTACTCATACACTGCTTAATCATGACCACTATATCGATCGGTATTAATGGCAGTCAATTTTATCACAGCGTAAGTGGCACTCAGCTTGAGAACCCAATCAAAATCCTGTAACGACAGTGTGATTAACTCCATATATATAGTAATGATACTTTATTAGCTCTAAAGCACATTTCGCTTGTTAGTTATTTAACTTGGATTGGCATAGACATTTTTGAAATACGAAGAAGGAGAATGTAGAAAGACCAATCAATTCAAGAAGACATAGCCATGAAATAAGTCAATAACCCGCAGTTGTGAACCTATAAAAAGAGTGAAGGCTTCCAATAATATAAGATATGAAGACCAAGATGGTGTGGCCTTTTGTGTGGTCGCAGTATAATAATATATTTCAATATATATATTCCAATATATATTCCAATAATATATTTCTAATTAGTTAATGAAGGAAAGGAAGCAAATCAAAATGATATTAGAAATATTCAGCAGCTAATTCAAAATGGTCCAAATAAACAATTCATCCAGGCATTCATTTCTACTAAGTTATGATGCTAAGTCCCTATTCAAGAATCACTTATAGTCACGGAGCAGACTCACCCTAGTATACCCATTGTAATGGAGAACTTAGTCATCTGTCCTTTTTTTATATTATCAATAAGGTTAATTTAAACCATTTTTACTTTGTCGACAGACTTAGGACTTGAGCTTACTTCCATTTCGGATGAAAGTGTTTAGTGAAGAGATTCAAAGGTCGATTCTAAGAGAAGACGACGAAGGATTCCTCTTGACCAGCTGTCGAGTCAAGAGTTTGATTGACTCGTTAGCTTGAATGTGGTTGTGACGATGATACCTTGCGCTGATGATGTTCGTCATATGATGGACGAAAGCTTAGTACCTTCTCACCGGAATCGACGGAGATTCCCTCGGAAACAGCGCTACCATGTATGTTCCAGTAAAGCCAATCGACAGCTGGCCAGGAGGAGTCTTCAGTCGTCTTCTGGTGGAATCGACCTTCGAATTTATTCACCAAACACTAACTCGAAATGGAAGTAAGCTTAACACTTATAAAACAAGAGCGTCCTCGAAACCAAACTTTTATTTGCATAGATTTAAGACTTACAGTAAGCAGATTATAATCTTCAAAATGCATCATACGTCGGATTGTTATTTTCTTCCGTCATTTGACAGGCATCGTCAGAACAGTATCCCATGCTTTGTGCTTTGTAAATTATTTTTAAGCCTAGGATTGTATTTAACTTAGCATATAGCCCAAAGTTTCTCCGAATTTCCCCCTCAATGTATTTATAAGTGAAATAATCAGACTGGATATTGAAGACCCCCTTAATTCCATTATATAAAAAAGAAGACGCATTAAAAAACAAAGTGGTGATAAGTCACAATAGATCAGATCGAGGATATATATCTACAGGGCTTGTCTCTGATAATTTGTAGTATGATGCTAAAAATGGCAAAGCGACCAGCATTCCGATGAAACTTTAGAGAATTTATCTTGTTTACAATGACTATTATGACAAAGGAATCCTGACAAGATTCAATCATTGAATTTTAGCAAAAAATGCGATTAATTTGCGAAAAAGTGAATAAACTATGTTTCGTAAATTAAATGCCTAGTTGAATAAACCTAACAACCCAAAGAGAGAAGCTGGAGACCATTAGTCTAAGCGATTCAATTAAGTTAAATAATGCTATCGCTGCCCTTGATGTAAATTTTGAAGGAAAACACAAACGATTTAAAAAGAAATTCAAACTAAGTAAATATATTATAACTACAAAATATTTAACCGTAGTTAATAATTTCAAAAAACTCAAATTATCATTTAATCTTGATAGGCATGATAAATATATGGGTCCTAAAAAAATGGACTTACGCAATGTAGATATTTGCCTGCTTCTCGCTCTCTCAGATTGGCTCTTTTTATCTAAGTTCTGTAGAGCGCCTACTCTTTTTGCCAACGAGATGTCAGCACTAATTCGGGTTATCAAGAGGCTAGGAAGAAAGATTAATTGTGAGCTCTAATATTAATAAAAATCAGGTTAAAATAAAAAATAAAATATTAAATCTTAATAAATAGAATAATATGAAAGATAGAAGCACCTAAGAAACTCTTAGTAATAAGTTTAGTTGATCTATCACGAACAATAAATCAAACAACAATATTTAGGGTGTTTCATTTAAAAGTAGGTTTTCGAGACTACCACTTCATATATAAATCTTTGGAATGGCTGAAAAGAAGCAAAAATATGATTGGTGAGCTATGAAAATAAGTCTTTAAATAAAGTTATGGATAATCCAAGCAGCAGAAGCATATCACCTATCCCCATCGTAGCTCACCGAGACTCGAAATGCTTTTTCAGAGCATCAAATATCGCTTTTTGCATCATGTCTGTCACTTCGTATCCCTTTAATGAGGGTCCGATAAATGCAATGGGGCGCATATTTGGAACGACTTCGTAAGGCGGCACAAAATCCGACTGAAAAATAGATGAATTATAATTTTAAAAAGCTTGGCACTTATTGAATATAATCTTAAAATATGAATCTCTATCGTAATTTATCGTGATTTATATTATCAGTAATTAATTTCTAAAATATAAACTCGAAAACATTAAAAGCTTGAAGAAATAGGCAGATTGAGTCACAAGTTGTGAATTATAACTAACTTAAAGAAATAATGGTAATAACACTATATTTAAAACTCTAAATGTAAAAAGAAAGAATTTAGATGATACTGCAGAATGATGATAAATCCAATTTTATGCATAAGCTTATGGATATGAAGACCAGGATGGTGTTGTCTTCTGTTTGGTCGCAGTCCCCTTTAGCGTTGGTGGGGGTTCGACCTCGTTTTCGCTACTTGATCGGAGCATTATGGAGACCTTGTGGAATGTACCTAGTCCTGTGTCATCTGCCATAGTATTCCTGAAGCTTTTTATTTCTGGATTCGACTTATGCTGAGGTATAGCAAAAGCTGGCTAAGATCAATGGTAGAGTCGCTCAGTATCTTAAAAAGTCAAATTCTTTTTCAAGCTATCATAGACAGATTCAATTATCTAAAACGACAGCCAATAAATGATTAAAATTTTAAAGTTGAAGGTTTTAAAGTATGAGAATGTTAAAATTTACAATTATTCAGTGCAGGAAAAAAATTCCTGTACCAAATAAATAAGGGATGATGATAATAATAATAATAAGATAATATCTGGCTCTTATATTAGCCACAAGTTCCCAAAAATATCTTTAATTCACTTAAAAACATAGTTTTAAAAATACGTTAACAAAACCTTTGTTGGTACTCATACCTATTATACTCCAAAAATATGCCA